AGCAAAACTCTCAGCTTTCATGCCATTCTTTCTCTCTCCTTTGCTCTCTTTCACCTATTTTATTCCTCAGCTCTCGTCTCCATTTATGCATCTATGCACAGCCACATGTGAGCACCACAGGCCCACAAACATGCAGGCCGAGTAATTCTAATCAATCCTCAGGGATTCGTGTTTTGCATGATGTTGTGGCATGAGAAATGGTTGAAGAAATGGAAACGGTATATCTCTCACTCATTCTTACCAGCCTTGACTTCTTTCTTCCTTCCTCTCCAAGGAATATAACAATATCCGGCACAACCAGCCAGACAAGGCAACAAACCAACCAACTGGTACAAATTCAACTAAGTAGGACTAAACCTTTAATTCACTTTGCTTCCTTATCTCCTCTCAGTCGGCCCGCTCGCTCGTCCGTCCGTTGCGTCCATCCATCCATCCAGTTGGTGGGTTTTTACCCGGGGAATAGAATTTTTATTACCCACCCACCGACCTCCATTCACTCCATGCTAATCTTCAAATTAATGGTTTTTTCCTTGACTCAATTGATAGCCTCCTGCCAACATACTTCTTTGTCGTTAATGTTCAAAATTACAGAGTAAACTTTCCAACACAAGTTGATCACTTACAATTACTTACTTTGCTCCTTCTAACGCTGTGTAATTAATGTTACATAACGCAACCTGAATGCCGGCGACACTCACGTTGGCTATCTCACCAAAGAAACGTAATGTATATTATATATACATACTATTTACTACTGCTGACAGGGCCGCATGTGTATTATTGTATGGCTTATTTTTTTAAATAAATTTATCCAACCTACTGAAGACCAACTTATATTCCTTGCTAATAGATAATGAAGACGAAATGCATAAGCGAGACAATATGTAACACTTGTTTACGTTACAAATAAAGAAAGAGTTGATTGATGTTTGATTTAACAAGAAAATACAGGATCTGCATATCTATCCATCTCTAAGTACATGAATTAACTGAGAATTTCACTGGGGAACGTGGAGGATCTCGAGTCACATAGAAATGGTAACAAATGATGATAGATGCTACGATTAATTGCGTTTCAGGAGAATCAGAAATCATTCAAGTTTATCTGCAAATAATTACAGCAGCTTCTTAATAGAATTCAGGACACGCCTCTCCTATCTCCCTCTGGAATTTCTCATCTTCAGTAAATATTTCGGAAAGGTTTTTAGGTATATGATATGAATTTTTACATCAAAACTAACGTAATTGTTTCGTCCTCTTCCAAATAGGTGATAGAAGAGTCAGACTGTGACTGTCAGAGTCGACGACTGGTTTGAGCAAGAAATGCCGAGACGCAACTGGATAACACAATTATCTGTTCGAGAGATTTCAATTGCATGACACAAGTCAATCGCAGCAAGGAATTGAATTGTGCCCTAAAGTAAAATAAAATGTAGCCCAAAGTTTAATGGAGTTGGAAATTTCCTCTCCATTACTGTGCCACGGTATGCACGTACATACTTGGTCCTACGTACTTTGGTTTGCCATTGGTTTTAGCATATAAATAAAATTATCGATCTCTACTTGGAAGAAGAGCCATTTAACTCTTCCGCATTATTCATCTAGGAATGCTATCCTGCTTTTTTTGGTGAAAGGAGACGCAAGGCTCGTCGTCTGATCGTCTTGTTGCTGCTTGTAGTAGAGATTGAGGCAGGATGGCATAGCGGATACTATTCAACTATTCAATGAGAAGAATGCACAAAAACTAAAAGCAATAGGAGGATAAGCAGCAGGGAGATGAAAAGACCATAGAGGCAGTCGGGACATAGATAGGCAATGCAGAAAAGATGAGAAAAGAGGACGGGCTATGCAGAACAAATGCAAAATTCTTTCCAAATTGGTATCGTCGTTGTATGCGTGTAGTTCGTACAAGGATGTGGTAGTCTCTTGTTTGTCTCACATCATCGTGTATGCACTGCTGTCTATCTTCTACTTCTATCCATCCACGAGGCAAAAGATAAAAGTTTTTTTCGAGAGGGAGAAAGTTGTCGGATATTTAAGTAGATGCATTCATATTGAAATGTGGCACTCGGATGTGAGTGTACCCTTATTATTTAGTAACCCAATGTAGTAGCAAAGGAGGAGGAAGAGCTAATCTAAATCAGACAGGACCAAATTAGCCGAGAAAAGAGGAAAGGTAATTTATTTATGGGGGAGATGAATATGCGCTCATTCGTTCCTCAATCCTGTGCTCAACATTAGCACATTACATGGATTTTTTATGTACACTTCTCCTCTCCTTATAATTACCTGCTTCCTCCATTTGGACTACTGCTCCTGCAATTACTTTCACCACCACCAAGTAGTTCGTACTGACGATACACGATGCGACGACCAACCAACTACTTTTTGCTAATCAATTCTTTCTCTCTGTATTTCTCACACAATGGAATCACCAGTACACCTTCCATCCCATTTTTTGCTCTGTCGTACGCATGTATGTATGTATGAACCTGTTTCAGAAATCCGTTGCTGAAAATTGCCCATCCAAAGTAGGAGACGAGACAAAGTGTGTGCATGTGGCGACTTGTGCTGCTACTTGTACTGCACATACAAACCACTTTGTCTACATGAAGGACAGAGAAGGAGAGAAAGCGGTGCTGCTGAACTCATTTCGGACGCCACAAAATGAAGCAACAAGACTGGATTATGTTCCTGAACGAGTGTACACAGAAAATTGAGAAGAAAACCACCAATATATATTATATATCACCCCCTCTTACACAAGGAAACTTATCGTTATTGCGGCGACATAATATATATAAGTACACATATGAGCACGACTAACTGGCAGGTGTGTCTCCCACCATGGAGTCCAAATCGACATACGACAGTTTTTTTGCACTATGCTATTGGCAGCTTGTACTCTTTATTATTGTTCTGCTGGATGGTAGTAGTCGTGGTGTACATTGTAACCATATATCCCTGTGTAAACATGGGGCAAATGGGATTTGGGAAACGTTCTGAGCCAACTGCTAACCAAACCGTTTTGCTGGAGACCGAGTGGACGACGCCAGTCCTGCACAGTTAAGATAAAGTCGTAAAGCCAAACCAGACGCAACCTTTCGATGTTAATTGGATATCCTCCTCACAACATCGAACGAACCACTAGTAATGCTCCCACTCTGGCGACAACAAAAATCGACACCATTTTTGTGGATCTCGTATTCCCGACCAAAACATAACATTGTTTCAAGTGGGGATTATCCAATTTATGAACACTGAAAATTGTTTACTAGTTAGCAAAATCAACTTTTAAGCAAGTTGTATTATTTCTTACCTTGCTTTTGCAAAGTCATGTCAGCATTAAATTGTAATGTAGAAAGCGGCTCAGTTGTCAGTGTTCATTATTTTCATCAATATCAAATATTTCCCGTCTATAAATATCTAGTTTGATGTGATTCATTATCGTTGCATATTTAATAAAGCGTTAGGGGCATGAAGAATTGAATTCCCATTCTCGTCCTGCTTCACCCAAGCGTTGAATTACCTTTTGCTCACTGAGGATTAAGTCAGTTATCGCTCAAATGTACTGCTTGAAAAATTACTCTGGTTCCCCAAGTGCAGCTACTTATCCATGTGGACGTAATTACGGTTTGGGAATATTCGTTACATTATCCACACGAGCATTATTATCTGGAAATTAACGATTCCGTCTTCTTCTTATTGATCTTTCTGCAATTAATGATGCATGGTATGCACGATTTATTGTTTCTTTCTCTGCATTGTATTACAACGATTCTGCTGTAGAATAAACAATACACAATTTGCTGCAGACTACAAGAAACGGAAATCAATTTTGTGGCTTCAGCAAAAACATGTAAAACAGACTGATTAAATGTGGAGAAAGGGTCTGCACAATACCCCAATCTGGTGATGAGTCTCCTCGTTCGTTATCGAGGTTGAATAGTATGTATGTACAGACATATGCACATTTGTATTTACGTATTTATTTATGTATGTCATATGTGAATGTGATGTTGCCTTAAGAGGATGAATATCAGTTTGACTATGATGACAGATGACAGAGCGGATTGTACATTTTTTTGATAACATTTGTGAACATTATTAAGTAAAATAAATTTTATCACTTTCTAGCCATCCAAAAATGAGGACATAAGCCAATAAAATAAACCAGAAAATTCAATAAAAATAGGATTAGATCATAAACGAGTCATACTCTTTCTTTCAAAATGTAGTATCTGAAAGATAGCAGAATCAGTAGAGGACATAGTACGGAGTCCGAACGGGTAGAAATTGTGATGCTACATTGGTTGCTACATGCATGAGCAAGGTGAAGGGGTGGCAGGAGAAAGTAAGAAAGGGAGTAAGTCAAATCCTAGTAATTATCTATCTGTCGTTCAGCAAGAGTAGTCGAGGATTGATCAGGAGGAAAGGTAGGTAATGATTGAGTTGAGTGCGTGACTATAGCGTCCTGGTGGTGGCGAGTTGTTTGATTGTGAGAGAGGAGAAAGTACTCACTCACGTGAAAGCAAAGACATTCAGCCCCTCAAAACCCTTAAATACTTATCGTCATCATCCCATCAGGAGTAACTAACTACCCTAAAGAAAAGCCACCACGACCGCACACATATACGTATGATTATAAGTATCAGAGGCAACCCCCTAGCTTCGTCCATCAAATGATCAGAGAAAGGAAGAATATCGTAATGATTAATGATGTGGCATGAACGGGTGCTACTTTGCACTAGCTCAAATTTTGAAATATTATCTCCCAGAATTATGACGACTTTTGCTGACTAAATGATATATATTTCTGTTCAAACCATTAACCACGATGAGGATGAGATGGCGTTCATTGCGGATTGCTCATCGTGAAACTCACTCAAAAGGGCAAATTCTGACATTTCCTCTACCATCAACCAACCAACCTTCGTCGTCGTCGTCCTCAAACAACAACAGGATGACTGTCTACTAAATAATGGCTTTACTTCATTCCATTGTAACCATCCCATAATAACTTATATAGGTATATTTATTCAGGCTTAACCTAAGAGTAATTCGTCCTAACGTTTTCACAGAATGAAATACTTTTAAATGCCAACTAGTTGTCAAATTAAACGATGGACACATTACATACAATAGGTGATGAGAAAGCAGTCTTTGTGTTTCCGAGTCTCGAAAGTATAATTAGTTTTATAATTATTACAAATGTGCAAATACAACACATCTCAATTTTCATCCAGCACACTTTACATTTTCATTTTTAAATGAGTCTAGAGGAAATTCATTACACCACAACAGTATTTAGTAAGTATTCCCCTAGGACGAGCAGGTTTACTATTTATTTACTTGTTATTGCGACGAGTACGAGTACTTGCAGTTACAATTGAAGCACCACCTGTGAATGAACAAAGATGATACAATGCATTACGAATGCAAGACAAAACAAAACAAAAGTTTTAAAAAAATGTTGAAATAGGCATACCAGTTGCTGGTCTAGTATTCGTCTTCAAAGCTGATACAGCAACTTTCTTTTTTCGCATCATTATTTCCTTCATTGCAGGAGTTAGTTCATTCGTACCCTGTGGAAGTACAAAAAAATATACAAATTTGCGCATGAATATAGCTATGATTAAAATAAAAATCTGCATATATAAATAAATTATACCTCTGGCTGCATTCCTTTCTGCTTTATCGGAGACCGAATATTTTCCTTCTTCTTTGATAGAATCTGTAGCATTGCTGGGGTAGGGTTAGCAATAATTGGCGATGGAGGTTTGCTCCCATTCACATCCTCTTTACTTCCACCTGCTTGTTGCGACAAGGATGATGCAGCACGGACGAGCTTTTCTGGGTCTGTTGATAAAACTCGAGCCCAATTGAAGTCTTTCACCTTCTTCGTTGTTCTCGTCGACCTAATAAAAATATAATATTGTAAATGGTAATTTAACTGAAAAATATAATAATGTGATTGAAAAAAATTGCACAATTAAATATAAGCCTACCTTTTCGGGTTAAATTCTTCGATATCGGCAGCAACGGGAACACAAATTTTTTTGCTAACTGCATCAGCAACGTCAAGGGAGCGCCGCTTAGTTGCTGTCTTTTTGCTCTTAACTGGACTTAGACCGGAAGCCACTTCGTCCAAAAACAGGGAACCCTTAGATGGCGATGGTAAACCCTTGCGAAGTATCTCTCGGCAATGTGAATAATTTGGTTCAGCCTCAAACTCAAGTTTTGCAATGTATTTCAAAAACTTTTCAACAACATCGAGACCTGTAGGCAATAACGAGTGAATGATGGGTAGAAACGAGAATCATATAAATTTAATTATAATAGTTTGTACCTTGAATTTCTGTAGGATAAATCTTTTTTAAGTTAAGATCTGCCATAAATGCCAATTTTTGCTTATGAACCACTTCCGGAGTTGCGTCTCGAGTCCAGGGTAGCTTTCCAGTTAACCACTCGAGCATATTATAACCTAACACTTCCAAGTCCCCACGACGTGCGAATGCACCAATATGAGCATCTCTATAATATTGCACATACATACTTATTAATTTTATGACTGACACTAATAATTCAAGAGTCGGTGAACAAACTTACCGTGCGGCATATTCTAGAGTACCGTTGTGCGCCTTTCGAGCGTCTGGTGCATATTTATAGTGCTGACCGTTTGCATCAACGTATTTCAACGCCAGTCCAAAATCTAAAAGGAAAATTTGTTGCTTCTTTTTGGAAGTTTGGTGCAATTCTAGTGCAAGGTTGGAGGCTTTGACGTCAGCATGAACAAACTCCTTGGAGTGAATATATTCGTAAATATCCATCTGAAAAAGAATTTAAAAATGTAATTTTGAACACATTTTTTTTTCTTAAATTTTAAAGTTACACTTCTTCATTATATGTAGTAGTACATATCATGAAGATATAGTTAATAGTCAATTATTATATGTGCTGACAACTTGCTTACAATTTGCAACGCAATCGCAAAAATGGTTTTATGATTGAACCGTTTTCCTGGTTTTTCTGATATGACTTTGTACAGATCTTGACCAAGTCTTGGTAATACTAAAAACCGGAATTTCTGAGAATTGTGTTCGTGTGACCCTGAAGCAACATAGTGCGGCATTCCAAGCGACTCGACCTTTTTCTGTTGCTTCCATTCTGTAACTGAATAATATAAACAATATCTTTGAAAATTCAAGTTACCACAAAATATATTTTTTTAAATATGATTGATTTTTCTTACTCATGGGAAATTTTGCAGTTCGGATGTAAAATGCTATTTCGACGAATAAGGGTCCATTCGAATGGGGTTCCTAGAGTGTGGTAAGCAATAGTAAACTTGATAGAATGAAGTTTAACTAACAAATATTTTGTTTAACCACTACTTACAATTTTCACAACGAAGTTTGCCTTATCAGTCACAGATTTATTGATGTCATCACTTGCTATAAAAAATCACACAGTATAATAAGTAATGAGATTTAAAAACAAATTTGAGGTTATTATTCTTTAAATAGAAATGCATACCAAGATAAATTTCCCCAAACCCACCAGAACCGATCGCTTTCCCAACTCGCCATTTTTGGTTTGAAAGATCATTCAGTAGCCTTATTAAAAGGAAACAAAAATACAGTAGTAGTAACAAATCCACCAAAGAATGGCAATCAAAAGAAATTACTCACTCTCCATTGGGAATCGGTGCTGCTTTGGCATATGGTTTCCCATTCTGAGCCCCAGCTTTCTTTGGAGGCATTTTGTGAGACGCGTTATTTTCACTGGTCTAGTGGTCTTCCTATCACTGCTAATCTGCTATAGTCTGTGATTTTGATTTCAGTCTCGAATCTCCCAGTCAGAGAAGATTAATTTTTTTTAATTCAGTTTCTTGTCTTCATCAAATCGTGATTACACAGTAACCACAGATGTTTTTTTTTTTGATTTATTATTATTGCCCTAGAATTTTGATTGCACAGATTCTCAGATTCTGATAATTTTCTACGGAGGACAATTGCGACTTTGCAGTTTATTACTGAGAATTCCCCGATGATTTCATTTCCTTTAGAATAATTAAGTAAGGCTCCAAAGACTGCATTAACTTCAAAAAGAATGAGTAAGCTGCAAGGCAATAGGCAACAAAATATTACATTTAAAAATATTAGATCTAAACCATAATTGACGGAACGTTTTTGTAATTTCGACGGTATCATGTAAAGTTTATATTGTACACGTACCTACCTGTTCTTATAAAAGTCCCATCAGTCTCTTTGACACTTTCCTTTAATTTAATTTCGTCCTCACCCTCGTTTTTATTGGATTTATTATTATTTATATGTATTATCAATTATTATTACGTATGTTTATGTTTATCAAATACTTCTTTGATTAAACCTTGTTTAAAAACGTATTCTATTTTGGAAGTTTGAAGTTTAAAACTTGACTGAGCTCAAATATTATATAACTAACCGTGAATTTATAATTTACTTGTATTTGTACGAATAGTAGTAATAATAATAATAACACGAATAATTTAGTATTTATCCAACCAAAAAAAGTTTTGCCGTTTGAAGACGGATTTCTACTTTTCGTCAGTGTAAATAAATTCCTATTCCTTCAACAGAGAAGGGAGCGAGCAGGAATTGTGTGGATGAGCGGGACGCCGGTAGTGGAAAATTCTTCCCATGGTGGCGACGCAGAATAACGTCGTGTGTGTCAACACCACCACCGCTCCCTCGACACTCGACGACAACAAGCTTTCTTATTATGCGGTGGTTCATTCACTCCGCAGCATCGTCAAAAAATATGAGATTTTGTGAAGTGTTGTTGTTTGTTGTGTTGTTGTGTGTGCTTTTGAAAATCGAGATTCACATAATATGTAATTGAATTATTAGTATTGATGTGAACGAATGAATGCAGACAGAAAGAAATGTGTAATAATTTCGCAATTTTCACAAAAATTATTGCTGGACGAGTGAATTAAAAGACTTTATTATACAAAATATGACTTAGAACTGTTCTGTAAGTTGTACTTCTTTCTAGTACTAGTTATCGATGATACTATTTTACTGGGATCAAATGAATTGAAATTACGATAAATATATGTCACAATAATGTGTATAGCAAATAGACACAAACGCCGCGTTGAAAAGACTAAGACGAGTACAGAATTTAAGTATATTTAGCAAATTGAGGTTTTTTATCTAAGTTAATAATAATGACACATTAGATATTGACAAGACATGAGGTATGTAAACAGCAATTCTTTACAGCCAGCCGTATACTATATGTACCACGAGTTCAAGGGAATTATTTTAGGATCACACAATTCACTTGTTACCCGAGTCGGTGGATTTTTATTGGTAGTAGCGTTGAAGACGTATTTGATGATACTGATCTGACGACAGGATAAAGCTGATGGCATCCATTATTATGCAGTATAATTATTATTATGAAGAATGTGGTCAAGTATTGTTCCGTGCTATCTCTAAGACGTTTTTACATGATGATTCTTATTGTGGTTGGCTATACTGCTATTTTCAACAGAATCCTCACTTTCACTGTCATCATTAGCAGATTCGCTTGAACTTCTGGTGTCTTCGACCTGGAAATATACAAATTAGACATGTCCAACTTGGTCCTCTGTCAATAACGCAAGGTTAACAAATAATATTATTATTTACCTTTCCTGAAGCTGCAGCGTGCATGGAATTGCAACATAAAAACGTATACATGTAGTACCATATCTATTGCCTTGTATTTGTCATTATTCAAATTACTTACCCAAAGCTTTAAAGGCAACTTTGCAAATAAAGTAAGTCCAAAATACGTGGAGGCAGAGCAATATGGTAAGCATTCCATTAAAAATGTAGTAAGCGGCGAACATGGGAATAATTTTCGGAGCCTGTGTAAGATTGAATTACATCACTTATAAATTATTTGACACAAAAAGATCAAAAAGGGCTTGTAGATAACGTATTTATTATTTGATGGTTACCTCAATGAGCGTACTGCAATTTCAAATAGATATAATATAGAATCACATTTAACAAAGTCGTAGTGAAAATTATTTCAATAGTTGAATAATGCAACAATCATTACCTGTTGAGAATGTAGATAGGGAAAATTCCCAGCCTTGTGACGATCCAAATGACGACAAAAATTGAGAATATGACATCCCCAAGTTTGTCGTATTTTGAATACTTGCACATTTTAGCAGCCTATTTAAATTAAATGATTTTCTTTACAAGTACAGTCACATGTGAGAACTTAATTAAACTATTATAGTGACATTTACCTCCAAGAATGCGTCAGCACAATCATGCAACAATAACACAATAGTTCCTATTCTAGTCAAGTTGCAGAACCAAGAGAATGCCAGAAGAGTAATGGTAACAACATGATGTCCAAACATTCCCCAGAAATCCTTGCGTTTCACATCGAATGTCTGAGTAATCAATAAGCTCCAATAAAAACTGGAGCCGAATGCGTAATACCACCTATAAAGATGAATTAAACACTAAAATTATCAAAATGAAATAAATAAATCCAATCAATTTCGCATACCAAACGTCGTTGGGAACACTCTGAAATATACGATACGAATTATGAACCACAACATCAAATATGTAAATCTTTTTTTTATTACCATCTGCTATGAAAACTTACATGGTGAGGATAATCATACCAGCAGTGATTAATATCCCAAAAGTATGGTTTATCCCACAGAATGTATGTCCCTATTATCGTCGAGGCAAGGTAACAAATGCATCTCCATCTGAACCACACCCAAAAGTAGTAAAAATTAACACTAGCACAATCATTAGAAAAGAACATGTATGAATGCCCAATTAATTTTCATACCCGCTTTCACTGAACTTTGTCAGAGTTGATGGCTTGTCTAATCCCGACCTCTTTCTCAGCCATCTCTCCACTTGTCTCAGATCCATATCTGTTCTCTTCACTAGAGATTCCATTTCTTTATGAGTAAACTTGGATTTCTTATTTTTATACGCTTTCTCCAGTACTTCATTTGACGGAAGAGACAATGTCTTTTTATTCACTTTCTTCAACCCAAGAAATTGCCCCCAAGGGTAGAGTATCATTCTAATTTCAAATAAAACAATTTTACAAAAAACTGACAAGTTTTATCTGTAAAGAAATATGCCGTATAATAATAACTGATCTTCTGGATGAGGATAATTTTCTTACTTTTCTATTAAATACCGCACACAGATCAACACGAGAGCGAAAGGAATAGGATATAGTAGGTCGCCCTGGTCAATGAAAATAAACTGATCAGTTAAACCATATACATACACTAAACTGTCTCAATTACCTGGTCAGGGTATCTGATCTTCTCATTTGGAACTATGTCTTTCCAGTCAATTCCTGGAGGAAGCTGAACCACAAGAAAAACAAAGCAAAAAATTCCTCACTTTAACAATTATTCAATGTAGTTCAACTAGACTTAAAATGAGAGACTTACCCACACATCAGGGTTCCAGAACCAGTCGAGAAATGCTCTGACCACCATTTTGACTCTTAATTATTATTTGTCTTGTCGCCAATACTGGCAAAGATTCTTCAGTCAGTCCAGGTAGAGTGTGTTCAGTTGAGAAACTTCATCGGAGAAGTGAAGAACTGCACAATAAAAACACGCACAATAAATCAATAATAACACCACGGGTTTGGAATGCATAATTATCACCACCATGCAAACTGTTTGGCTTGAACAATGATTGCAGTTGGATTTAAATGTCCACCCATCAAAAATTGATTGCTATCAATCTCATTGCTTTGCTGTCTATCTACATTGGTAACTATTAGCGAGTGAGTAAGTGAAATGTGTTTGATGAGTGATTCAGACAGGTTTGATCACACAAACAAAGTGTGCATTGGCTAATAATTGTCTGGTGATGATAACAATGCAAATAAATTCTTGTGGATCTGGCTGTTACGATAAATTAACCGAGCCGAATAATTGACAATGAAACTGGTGAACACGAGACTATGACCAGACCAACTGAAAAGCAGTGACTCACAGAAACGAGTGACTCTGCCACACTCATCTTCAGTCAGTTCTGTCCAACGAACGGGAGTCGAATTGATTGAAAATTGAAATGGAACAATTGTTTATTATTTATGGAATACCAAACTGCCAGACTTACTTATTTATTCCTCCACTACACACTACTACCTCTTTCATTCTGCTTGCATGTGGATATAATAATATAAATACAAAATAAGGTAAAAGTACTACACACTGTCCTGTCTGTCGGTATCGGTGTCGGTGTTGCTTTCAGAATGTTGAGAAAGCGAAAATCCTTTCCATGCCGCCCCACAGCCACTCTGCCCCGCCAATTCCACCACCACTTCCTCCCCTCTCTCTCGCTCGCTCGCTCCACTGCTTTCTCCACACGCAACAGGACTTTCTCCTCCCCATCCCGACCCGGCTCCTTCCTTCCACGTCGTATTCGTCATCATTTGCTGTAAGTATTCGCCGGATTTACCATTTTCTCCCCTCCCGCTGATTTTGCCAATAATCAATGTTCGTACACTGCTTATCAATTTATATATTTAATTTGAAAACTGGATGAAAGTTGGAGAAAGGCTATTTTCGGATATTCTCGCAATCACTATAATAGAGTGTGGATGGATGTCATATTTATCATTTTGTTAACGTGATGTTCATAGTTCTTGTCCGAATGACTTAATAATTATTCGTTCAATAATCCACTTTCAATAATTCGAGCCCAAAGTATTTCTTGAATTTCTTCACTTGCTAGTAGCAAGTTGCTACTGACTGACTACGACTTTCTCCGCCCATACAAATGCTATGTGAAATAATTGCGCATTTTTTATTTCAGCATACTTTTGCATAATTCCATTAATATTAGGAAGGAAGTAGGAGAAAGCACATATATGTATAAATAATGAGTTTGTCCTCAAATACGAATGGAGACTATGGTCGGAGAGATTACTGGGACCAACGGTATGAAAATGACGAGGAGTTTGAGTGGTGCAAAGAGTACTCCGTCCTCAAACCACTCCTCGTGGAACATGTCAATCCACAGGATGCCATCCTAATTTTAGGTTCGAGTGCGAAATAACTCCTCAGTTTGTATAATTAATATGCATTGATTTTAATGTTGGTATATGTACATACACAGGTTGTGGAAATAGTGAGCTTGGTAGTGAAATGTACAACGATGGTTTCCAGAATATTACAAATATTGACTTTTCATCCGTGGTCATTTCTAAAATGAAGACAAAATACCCCTTTATGAAGTGGATTACGATGGACATGCTAAATTTAGACTTTCCCAATGCCACGTTTAATATAGTCATAGAGAAAGCTACGCTGGATGTCTTGTTTGTGAACGAGGCAAGCCCTTGGAGCGTTTCCGATGAGGTTTCAGCTAATATGAACAAAGTTTTGTCGTCCGTGTCAAAAATTTTGAAGCCTGGAGGAAAGTTCCTTTCAATTACGTTTGCGCAACCTCATTTTCGAACCAAACTTTACAAGGAGCACTGGTCAAACTGCACATATTCCACTTTCGGGTCAGGATTTCATTACTATTTTTATGTAAGTCGACATAATTAGTACTGATGGAATTATCTTGGAAGAACTGCAGACATTCGAATTCATTTGATTTTGTAAATATTCTACATACATGTATTCTTTTATTTTAATACGAATGTAATATATTTAGGTATAGTGTGATTTGTAACATCTATGTGTATTTATATATAAGACAAAAATTATATAAAATCTGTTACAAAAATGCATTTGCTACTGTCCGCTTTCCTTACTAATATTTCTCCCGTGTCTAAATACGAAATGTCCAGAAAGTTTCTATGTTCAGTCTGTTTATTTGAAGGAGAAAGACATTCCATTGATAATACTCGCCGATGAGATGAATCACTGAATTGGTCACTGATTGGCTTTTGGCAGACCCGGCGATCATTAAAGAACCTTCCGCTGGGATGATGATGATGCGGACTTGGAGGCACTCTTGTCCGCTTTCTATACATTCGCTGTTTGTGCTCAAAAGGCTCCGTTGTGCCCGTTACGATGGTGAGGGGGACGTCTGCACGATCATCAATTAGATCCAGATCATTCATTGACAAGGAGGTAGGTTGCCCTCCCCCCGTGAGGTGTGTTCTCATAATGGGCAGCTTTTTTCTGCTCTCAAACTCTTCATAAATATGTTGGTTTTGTTTAAATATTTTCTCCTTGTCCGAAATCTTCTTCATGTTAAACGTCTGTACGGGATGAGGAGGAGGGACCGATTGTGACTTGGGAACGACGTAAGTGGACGGATTGAAATCCTTGTTAGGAATTGGCAAGGGCCTCTGCTGAAGGGGCTGGGACTTTGCGGGTCGACTTTGATGAAATTCAAAATCATCATTGGCAACGGTTGTCACCTAACAATTATGGAATTAAAATTAGTCCTCAGTGGTCAGTACCAACGGTAATAGAACTTCATACACTTACAGATGCTACGGAAGAGTATCTGTGGTGGTAAGATTTTCTGTCATATTCACTCTCATCTTCTTGGAAAACCTATGAATAATTTAATTAGATTATTAAATCAACTGCATTTTAAATCGCCTATTCCATTAAGAATGTATCCACTTACGGCTCCAATACTGTCAAAGTCGTTCCTAGCCTGCCTATGAATTGCTATTTGTCCATTAAGAGATTGTTGAAAGCAACCTGTTGAAAATGCAATATAATTCAAATCATTACTGTGCATAAACCTAGAATGTCTCCATGTATCATGGCGGTGAAAGTCGCTTTATACCATTATTATTGGAACCATGTCCTGTTTGCCCTACTGAAGGCATTGGCATGACGGGTCTAATAACGCCTGAGGTAGATGATGCTGCTGCTGAGAGACCAGCAAACAGAGACCCGTTGGTTATTGGAAATCTGTTATTCTTAAAATCTGGAGTGAAAGCATGATTTGTGTAGTGCCCATTATTTCCTCCTCCTCCTCCACCAGTTCGATTATTCAAGTTTGTCTGGGGGTTAAAACTAGTCTCGGCCTTGATATTTGATGCATCTTCTATTGCATAGGAATGATGATGATGATGAGCAGGGAGTTTCTGGCTTTTCTTACTTTCTCTGTTAAATATCCATGTCGGGACAACATTGTCCACGATAAATAATATGAGAAGGATTGTCAGTCCTTCAACAACTTGAAGCCACAAAAGAAGGTTTGTCACAGGCCAATTGGTTGGGGAAAGTATGTCGCCCGAACCAAATCCGATACTGGCAATAGGCACAAGAATCTCCATTCGTGAGAGGATTGTTGCAATCTGAAACAGATTATTATTTGTCAATGATTAATCAATCAAATTTCAAATTGCAGTTCTTGCTTGGTGTCAAACTTTTCAGCCCGAGTCAGAGATTATGGAATCTGTCTGTATGTCATTCCGGGACACGATAGAGTCAAATGTCGAACCAATTGGGTTAGCTCAATTGATAAAATATAAAATACAATACAATTAGTTGGACTGGGGCTGGAGTTATGCACCAGAATTTCAATAGTGCTGCTTGTAAAAAATTCTGAAGTTGAAAAAAAATCATCAATATGGGGTCGTCTAGACCGATTTCTAAAATAGTAAGAAAAAGATCAAATTTGGTATCAAAATGATGGTGCACATACTGCACATCAGGGAAGATTCATAATTTACGTAACACGTTACGTCAATTCTGCAATGTCAAATGTATCATGGTGTGAAGGACCGTAACAGGCTAGATAATTTATGCCTCAGACCAAAGAATATGTATGAAGTTAGATTCGAGAATTTTTGCAAGAGGAACCCAACTAGGTGACCTACATTCGTTCTAAAAATTGGGCGAAAAAAGTTGAAATTTTGTATGCGGGATAAATGGGAAAATTTATGACGATTACGAACATTATCGTGTAGGATATCTCAGTATTATCTTCTTAGGTGTATGACAACTCGTGCCATTATAAATACTTATCAGAAGAATAAGAATATTACCCGCTTCGTTGAATTTTGCACCACAATTACATAAGCTATTTAATAGTAGTTGGGTTATCTCACAAAATTTTAGAAGAGGACTCTAATCCTGACTCGGGTTAAGTGAAGTATGCATTGCATGTTTTTATCTTAATGACTAAAGACAACTAATCCCATCATCATATTCATCATCAATCATCCGAATAGCGTCCCGAATATGCTTATGTACCGTAAAAGGAAGATGCGTGCATAGGATCGTCAGACATAGGAGACTTATTGCTGGGTACAGCCTGCTATTGCTGTTGTCTTCAGCCGTCGTTCTATCTCTCAGTCTGTCGGAGAAGTCTCTACTTGAAGTAAAGTTTCCTTGCTGCTGCGGATGATGGAAGAACGCATTATTCGGTGAGTTGCTGAGAACGGCCTTGGCTGACAAGCCTGGTGTAGAAAAAAATGCTGTTGGACTGCTGTTTGAGATGGTGGAGGATGCAGTAGATGTGTTTGAGACTGTCGGAGTAACGTCCATGATGGGTGGGGAGCTTCTTCTTCTCTTGTAGTGAAACTTTTTTGTATGAGGAAGGAGTTGGGAGCTATTTGAGTTGTTTTTGTGGCACAAAGTTTTACATAGAACGATGACTCCTACCAGGACCACGATGCAATGCACGCTCAAGTAAAATATGACAAATTTTAAGTCAAACTTGAATGGGAGGAACGTGCACTGATCAAAGGAATATTGGGGGGACGAAGAAGATGCTGCCAACCAAGAAGAAGAAGAAGACGAAGAAGAAATACTGCTGCTGCCACCAACAAGTAGTTCAGGGTTGTTAAACGTGATGAGAGCGGTGAACCCAACCAAGCACGCAAGAATCGCAAGGACGGCGATATGATATCTGACGTGATTTTTTCTTATTGATAGCTGATAGCTGAATCTGGTATAAAATAGCCAACGATCCACCGCTAATAGAGTAAAAAACGGAAATAAAATTGTTATATTTTTTCCAAAGGTGAAATATTTGCTACATAATGTCACAATAGTAGTCCTCACCCAAAGAAGTTATCGTGGTTCCTTTAAATATGGGGATGACAATGAAAAACCACATCATTCCAGTACAAACTGCTTCCCCCGTCAGTGGCGTGGAGAGCTTGAGGAGTACAAGTGTCGAGTAGACAAAGCCAAGAAACTGCTGAAATATGCTCTGGCTCAAGATTGCGACCAAGAATATGTCCATTGTCCCCCATTGACGCCGTCGACATTGGAAAATGGCCAGGGTCCAGCATGTCAGAAGGATCACGGGTGCGGATGCAGTCAGTGCGATCCAACTGTACATCAGGGGGGGCTGCATTTTCTTATCTTTAGGCTGGCATCACATCACTTATTGAACTTTTCACTTCACACGAGCTCATCATTCCAATCCAATCACTAGGACTTGTTGTAGCAAATAGGTATCAGGAGTGGGATGACTATGAATTCAGTTCATTATTTTCATTTTGAGTAATATTAAGGCAATCTAGGAAAATAGAACAAACAGTCGTTTTAAATTATTATTATTTTCTTCAGCAGTACGACCGTTTCATATAGTTGATAAGCTAAGCATTGGAACTAACGAAACAACGATAACGACTTCAGCATAAATTTCAATTCAGTTTTTTAATAGTCAGTAAATGAACTGAAATATTTTCAATGGTTTCACATTCTACCCTTTATGGTCAAAATATGTCACGACTGTCCAAACTTTAGTTCAGTGCTTTCAACATTAAAAATTCTTTCAATTTGATCTGTACCATCATCAGAGGTGGGCAAACTACATACAAAACTCCTCTACAAAATACATCAATTTTGGTACACGCTAAAATGCCATTGCAGAATCCAAAAATATGAGATTCCTCCATTCCATTCAGTTATGAGTTAAAAACCAGACATTTACGCAAATATCTGAATTATATAAATATATACTCCAAAATACGCAATACTTTTTATTCTAATAATTTTGAATGTGGTTCGCAAAAATTACAATTTACATTTGAGGATATCAAATTAAAAATTTCATTTCGAATCTACCTAAAATGCAACTTATGACGTAAAATTATAATTCTGGTTAAGTACTAAATACTTTAATTCTATTTTAGACTTTAAATGTCATTCCAGAATAATAAAAAAATGTATAATGAAAATTACTTGCTTTCAATTCAAACTTACGGTTACGTACAACTTGTAATTTTATTTCTCAGTGTATTGACATTTTCCGACCTCTGACAGTCTTGTGTATGCATAGTAAAATGTACAGGTATGCATGAACATTGTTGTTGCACAACTGCTTAAACAAAAGATGCTCAATTGATGAACTCTTGATTTTTGGTCAGGGTGTTTCATGCTTTTGGGTAAGACAAAAAGTCACGATGCAATTTCGTGTCTCGCTATCGTTCATCGTCTACACGGCTACAATTTTTAAAGCAAACACCAGTAAATAATGAACATCACGAAATAATAAACTTTGCATTATTTTGGGCGTCAAATTGCTTATTATTGTTATTAGTATTATGGCAATTCACTAATGCTGATTGGAATTTTTGTATTAATTCAAAATGATGAACCCATGTTGATGTACATGTATGTATAGCGTATAATAGACTAAATAGCGTATGTGCGTACATTCCATATTCGTCTCGAGTCTCAAAATTGATTTAGCAACAATACAAAATGCAACAAGTATTTTCATCTGACCAAAACTTGTTAACGAACGGAGTAGTAGAAGAAGAATTGAATCGAACAGTTCATTCTGTTCATGTAATCAGCTCTTAATCCGTATGATTTATTCATTCCGATAGACGCTTATGTTGGCCACATTGTTGTATAGGCGATTTGTTGTTGGTCGGTATATTTATTTGTTGGGGCTAAATGCATGTAAATGATTTGGTAGTACAAATATGAAATATAATACAACATGCACGCTTATCATTAGATACATGTGTACACATATAAATATATGCATTCAGAGAAACTTATGGTTGTTCTCTGGGATATGATCTTCGATCGTGCAACGCATACAGTACTGCAGACCTGAGGTTTAGCATTTATCTAAGTACGCATCCACTACTATACAACAGCGAGGTGGTGAATAAGCTTCGTTTTACTTGGTTATTCATTACAGCCAATAAATGAATCTCAGCTTTATACTGTATGATAGCTTTAAACCACTGCTATAGTATTTGGACACGGAAAATTAGAAAAAACGGCAATGCTTGTCCTGGTCATTGTCTAGCTTTTAAATTCTGATTAGGATTCATCTCATGCTTGATTGACGGTGTAAAATACGATGGTCGCTTAGCTCTGGCAATGCATTACATTGTGAGGAATTCACGCCTAAGGGAAGTTTCATCTTGTACAACGACGTTCGATATTACGACGACGACTCCGTCTCTGCCGTCGTAATAATAATGCTGCTGCTGTGTCGCTGCAATGTGATGTCAGAGATAAAAAGCCATCAACATTGGCTCTTTGCATTCAAGGTAAAAATTGGTCTCCTTCCATTCTTTCCTTCTCCTCCCTCATCCATCTTTCAGCATTATGCTCGCCTGACGCCTTTCCACTTACACAGATCCAATTCTGGGCTAAGGATGATGGGAACAAATTTTTACCATTGCTACCAACCTTTTGAAATATGTACCTTTATGTATATATATACGCATCAGTTAGAAAAACTCAAATATTTGATGTGCGTTACACGGTCATTATTATTGTTATATAGGTACATACTTGACTGCATAACATGAACTCTTTTATACTTAATTTGCTGTCCAAATGAAATCATGTATCCTGCGTGCTCAAGTGTAAAGTATAACATTGCCTGGGCCTTGTTAATTCATCTTGAATTTGCTCAGTAGCTCAGCAAGATGATTATGATGTAATTTATTTGCTTAACGTCTAAAACTTTTGCCCCATTTAGCAAATGGAATCGCCAGACATAAAGATTAATATGCGCTGAGTAAGTAGTCCTACGTATTACTACCACCACTGCTAATAAACAAATGCTCCTTCCTTCAACCTTCAACACAAGATATGGAACTACATTATTCAGTCACACAATTCGAACCTCTTAACACTACGCAGACAATTTCTTCTGAAAGAGCAACATACAAAAATTATAAAAATATGATACGACGCAAGCCAATTCAACATAAAATAAAAATTGGCAGCAACCCGTTGCACGACACGCATGATGATGTGGAAGTATGTATGTAAACCAACCAAGGTTCGATAAAGTGTCCACTAAACACAGTATCCGCACTTGTTTGTTTGAGTAGTAAATATGTACGTGTGTGTGTGGTTGCAACTTTGGTGATATGTACATGAGCAGGGGATTGGTCAAACACAATGGAGCAAACGGTTCGGGATTATGAAAACAGGAAATGCTATGGAATGCAAATTGTATAGAATTTCTAATGTCATTATATTAATTATATTCAACATGGTTTTGTGCACTAACTCCACAATTCTGGGCAACTATCTAATAGTAGATACGTACACCAAAATGCACGTACACAGATTATTGCATTTCTATTTTGATCTTTATCTCTGCATCATGCGTTTATTGTCCCTGCTGCCACTGTTGTCTGTTGCTCACATATTTGCACTAATTCTTTTGCTTTTTTGCTAAGTCCGGAAATCCACAAAATGACTACTTCCACACAATAATTGCATAAATTTTGTTCGTGATGTCCATCCGGAACGTAGACCTCTGTCTATATATTCTATGTGTGTGTAATGTTAGGTAAGCCTAAAATAACGTGACTGACTCTATACGAGAATTGCTTGGTTAAAATATTTCAATTTATTTATGTGCAATAGTATGAATTGCAAAAAGTTGGTATCTACAAATATGTAGAAGTGTGATGTTCTTGAGAAGACACAAATAAGTAGCAGCCACAAGATCAAAACGTGCATATATCTGATGATTGAACGGCTTGAACTGTCAATATCTATTGGTTTTGAAACTCAACCTATTTGATCCTCCTCTCGCTTGACTGAAGAATTCAAAAATTTAAAATAAGTGTCATACTTAGTTTGAAAACGTGATGATCAATGTTACAAATCTCACTCCTTATACATATATGATTCCCAAATATGTCGATTGCAATAATCTACATATTTGAAATCTTATTTTGTTTTGCTTTAGAGTTTATAACCCAAAGCTAACTCTTACCAAAAAAAATTCAGCAATTCACAAAGTTGCGAACAATGCGACCACCAAAATCTTCTTTACCCAAAGTTTCGTTGCGTAAACAGAGCAAATCTATGAAACTTTAAAAAGTAAAGGAGAGAAATTATTTCTATAATGCATACGTTATTTAAGCCATTAAAAAACCATGTCTTATGGTTATATCACATTAAACGGTTACATACATACATTACCAAAGTAGGAATGCTGCTACTCTCTGTGGGATTAGGTTTCAATGCACAATGAGATGGATGTGATGCGTATTATACGTATTATTATACGTACGATGTATATACTCTCTTCTGGTAGAATAATAATAATGCTCCTTGATTTTGCACTAATTTCATGGCTGTGATCCACACTTAAACGTCTCAAATTTTATTTCGCGCATTGTTCATGGCAGTGTGAAGGGTGTAGATTGACTCATTAAGGAAAAGTTTCTTGTACATTGTTGTACTTAATTGTATAATACTGCAAACTACCTTAACGCTGTTAAGATTTACCTATTTTAATCAATGTTTTTTTTAGTTTCTTCAAAAGCTAAAAGAGACGAGCTTTCCTATACGAATGAAGGCTGATTTTGTATTTGTGTTTAATTACATTTTCAATTAAAAGATGAATTAAAGACAGTTCTTTGTTATTTACGTCACAGAGTCTGATTAATTTTTCTTCTGAACAGAAAGTTAAGTTCTCCAAATTTTGAAACTTGTTACAGCAAAAATGTTTAAATTAAATCCTTTAATGAAAATGCAAAGCATGTTTACTTTAGTTACTCTTTGATTGGGGAGTTTGAGGAACGGAACGGAGTTTGGTAGCGTGTATGAAATTATGCAACAAAACATAGTTGTCACTTGACACAGAATGTGTACATGCATGTGTATCTACCCTGACTTTGGGTTTTGATATGTACTTAAATGTACGCTTCTCAAACACAGCTCGGATCAGGTTTCAATTTGAACAGTTGTAGCATCGGCAAGATTTTATGGTCGATAAACGCATCTTAAATTTCGTTAACACAAACAATGGATTGGTAATTTGCATGAACTGTAATACTTAATGGAGCAAATGAATGGATGAATCAACGCTTTAAAATTAGCAAAAGAGTTTATGTAAATTTGGCACAACGAAAAAACTTACCTCTCACGGCTCCTCGCTCGCTCAATTGAAGACCAGAATTTCATGAGATTTTGTGCAACAACATAAATAATTCTTAATCCGTTTCTTTCCAATTTTATTGCACGTCAAGAGTTCTAAAAACAATCACGAAATTAAATCACACCAAAAGAGTGTAATTTTACAGAGTTAGAAATGCACAACATCCAAGAATCTTTGTATTTTTTAAATCAATAAAATTATAGTAGAACTATTGACACAAAGTAGGATTTTATGGGTTTCTTCTGAGGTCCAACCGTGCGTGAGTTGATCCTTGCAATGCAACACTTGTACTATCTGAGATTTAAACATAAACACACCAGCAGAGTTTTGTGAGCGAGATGAAGGGGTGGATGGATGATGCTGTAATGCAGAGCGTATGTAAGTGCATATTCAATCCCACACCTTATTAGACAATGTTGAAACGCAACTTATCCAATGCATGTCGGATGATACAACAGCCAGCATCCATCCACCTCCAATTATTGCCAAGACGGCACAACGAGGTGAGGTTTAAAGCAGGTAATAATGCGACTATGGTCATAACACAACAACCATAATATTTCGTTATTGCTGCCATTGCTAGAAATGAACCACAGGGTGCTTGAGGACTTTTTGGAGAGTGCTTTGAATTTTCGTCTTCTTGTATCCCCGCAGTCCAGTCCCTCTCAACTTAATCTCAGCAGCAAGAGTCTCAGATTTTTTCGTCCCGAATTCCTTTCCCACTCGCCTTGAGTGAGACTCCTTTCTTCCAGTTGATCAAGCAACCGATATTTCCAAACCATTTGTACAACTCATTGTGATGTTGAAACAGCTCGCATTCAATTTACGATGCAATGGCTTCAAAAGACTTTATCTGTCAGAAGATGGGTGGAGATTTCTTGTCTCGGTTTTAAAAAAGTACACGCATTACAGGTGATGGGCCTAATGGGAATGTAATGTATACGTTCCCACGTAACGCTCGAGTTCTCTCCATGGCTTCGTCTGCTGCAAATATATCACTTTCTTTATGGCCTAAGCAATTCAGAGATTGTTAAAAATTATGCATGTATTGGAATTTTACTAAAATATTAAATCTTAAAGAAAGCATGAGAAAAAGGAAATATTTATGTATATCTCTTAAAGTATTTCTACTAATGGAATTAATTCATTTATCGTGTACCCAATTTTAGTTTTAGCATGACCAAGTGTCAAAATTATTCGAAAACGATATGATAAGGATGCATACCATTGCGTATAATATGGTGCGCAGATATATAGATTTGATGAAGTGGGAAAGATTGCTCACTACATCTTTGGTCTACAGACTGCATCGAGAGGGGATGAGGATTCCATGGCGCAACAGGTGGCGAGATTCATTTCCACCCTACTCTTTGTTCATTGATAACGATTATTTACATTAATATTGTGGGTACATTAATTTTAGAGTGAAAGTCATAAAATCTGGTCTAGTCGTGAGATAAGGGAGAAAACATACATACTTATGCGGATTGGAATATCTTTGCCAAAGTACAGCCAGCAACTTTTGCTTTAGTAACTTTACCGAAAAAGCATTTAAGCATGCGCTGATTATTATTATGAACGTTTATAAGTGCGTTTTATTTCGTCGAGTTTATATGCTCATTAAAACGAAAACGGTGTTAAATTTTGGAATTTTGTCTGTCACTTATAAAGTAGCCAAGCGTAGTGCAAACGAAACGCCCCCGATCTATCACCGGGGTTAAACTTTTATTTCACTTGGAATAATATTCATAACTTTCACTTTTGGTTACACAACAAGGAGCGCAAGAATTTGAGGGAAATAGGCATTCACTCACAGAATATGAATAAGGAAATCAACCCGGTATCGAATTTATCTCGCACGCCATTGTTTTGTGCTTCTGCAATCTAACAGCGTTGCTTGGGCAGTTTCGGAGAAATGTTTGAGCATATCTCGAATTTTGGAATAATATTATTGAAATCAAAGTGGAATCTTGCGTGACAGGTTACCATCCACATGAACACTACCAGAACCAAATTCATTGCATTCTACATACATATCTAGAAGACTGACTTGGTCTCATGTAATGTGAGTCAACTGCAAATTTCTCAAACCTAAATAGGTATATCTACCCTATCACCTCACCCCGACTTGGTTGTTTTGTTATTACCTATTTGTGCTAAATAGAAGCAGTACTCGACTCTGAATGTATGCATGAATGTACATGCATACGCTTGGTTTGCCGGATAATAATTAAAATATATACGAGAGACACGGGACTTATAACTGAGGGCGGTTAGGAGGACGTCATGGGCGGGTTTGTATCATGTAATAGTACCATGAAATGTTTTAAAGTTTAAGCGTTAATTCCACCACCACCTCCACAACATATAAAATAATATTACGGTAATGACTGGTCAAGCCGGTAAATAATGGAGCAGCTCGGATTGCACATAACCAGCCTTGTGGGTTTTCTTCAGTCTACTGCTTAGAAAGGCTTATCACTATGTATTACTCCCTGGCTTAATTAAATGATTTCAGCTTTTCTAAAAAAAATACTGCACAACTCTCATTTCAATATAAGTATGTGTATCATCATATTATGGTCATACATTCATGCAGGATGGTGCTGTAGTGAGACTAATTGAATTACCTTCAACCTTTTGAATTGGCCTTTAATGTTTCTTAGATTAGCATCTTTTTTATCCCAATATCGGTTCACTACAATCGGCGTTCAGGTGTGAGAATCAACAGTTTCCAAGTGCTAAGTGGCATAATTCAAACTTGATTCTTCTATGCAAGTAGTCATAAGAACACAACAAGTAAGCACATACATAAGTAAGAAATTAATCAGAGTGTAGCGTTACACTCGTGTCACCAGAAGCTGAACCTCTACGTATAAGAAAAACGCACATACTTATTTTTGCAGTTGTGGCATATATTGAGATTTTTTCAGAATGCAAAGAGAATGCAGACAACGGAATTCGCTGCTACTTACAACAGGACGAAAAGCTTTGTAGTAGTCGTAGTAGGATTGTGTCAGGACGTTCAAAGAGGACAATAATATAAGAGGTTGGTTAGAGGGGTAAAATGTTTTGAAAGAGAATAGAATGTGTCTGACTGGATGCCAAGATAAAAAATGTGCTGCTAATAGTGTGTTGCATTAAATATAGCAAACTTCACACTGGAGGATGGATGATGATGATAACGAAAGTAGAGCTCCAATGTCCTTGCTCCCAAGTAAGTACATACGAAGTTTGCATTGCAAACCAAACCTATTGCATTGCAAAGTGGGGTTTTCAGTAGTGTAGTTTTGAATAAGCAACATATTTTAACACGTAATACTGTGATTCCAATTTATTCTTCTGCTGAAAAGTATAACCAATCTCAGTTTGCAATAATACTATTATTCTTGCAAGTAAAATACAGTAGTGGCGAGGAGTTAGTCGTTGCCGGCCGCCGACGACGACCTAGGGAGTACCACAACAAGTAAGCATTATTAGTGGTGGCAGTACTAATACTAAGCTAAGGGTGGTTTGCTAGCATTTCGTTCCTGGTGTTATTCGATATGTATAGGACGACGGAGGAGAAGTGGGTTTGAAGGCTCTGTTCCTTGTTTTAATACACTGCAGTAATTTTACTGCATGAATTGTTACCCAGAAATTTATTGCATTTAACAGGTAACACCACCACCACCGCTGCCACACATCGTCCATAGGAACAGACAGACTGCTGCTGCTTTTCTAGGGTTCCTTTTCACTGATTGAACTGCGATAAAACGTGTCTGGGCTGCTTGCTTTCCTTCACCTGCCTTCTCGTTTAGAGGTTGAGGAGTCGGTTTCAGCCAGTGCAGTATACGGTGGTCGGTGGGGTCGGACTCTAGAATAATAATATATTTTTGAAACACAGCAGCAGCGTCCAGCCAGCCAGGAGCAAAGTCTTCCAACTCTCTTTTCATGCCAAAACTCGGTCAGTTTTACTGCTCAGCTACATACTAATACCTCCACATATTACCCACTGCTTCATGCAGCTCTATGGGCGAAAGACGGTAAAAGCCACAAAATATCAAAATTAAGTAATGACCAAAGACATTATTGCGTTGCGTGTGTACGTCAACTTGGTCGATTTGTTGATTCAAATCAGAGTTCAGCAGCGCTTGGGGGGAGAGAGCGAGTGCATTGTGGTGTAGATGGTGGTGCAACAGAAAGGAAGGCAAAAGAACGGGTGAAAGGAGGGAGAGGGATGGAAATTGTTTTTCTCGTGGTCTATTTTAATGTGAATGTGATAATTTTATTCATCAACAAACAAAAAAACAATTCATTCGAGTTGAACTTTTGGTTCCAGAAAAGTCCAAAAGTCATACAAATAACAAGCTTCCTTCTGAGCAATAAATACATGTCTCTGTGTGTGCTGCGTCGTCCCTGATTATTATTATAGAAACTCAAACATATTGAACCTAAATAGATTGATTATACACTTTTGAGAGTCACATAAAAGTCCAGTTTATTAGGATTTCTTGAGATAAGTGGTAGAAAGTGTAAGGAAAAGGACAGAAAAGTAGACTTTGTTCATTTATAAGTACATCGAGGCAGGTTAGCATACGTCTGTATGTATCTACGCTGATACAAATGTGCATGATACAAAATGTATATTTATCGCATTGCATAGTTGTCAAAATTAAGGTTTGTATGTATGCTACACATTATGAGTAAGATGTAGGGCATGGAAAAGTGGACTCCTTATCTCCTCTAAAAACAACTTGAGTCAATATGAAACAGTTTTTCTCATTCTTTTGGTTTCTTCAGTTTTTGACAGAGCATTTATTAGGGGACGCTTGTTTGCGACGATCCTTTTTATAGGGTTTGGGTTTTAGCTTGTGAGTCATACCCACATAGCGCATGAATTTATATGGCTCATAAAATTGTCGCAATGTGATTGACTTGATCGGATAGACAAAAATGTACCGTTAACAATTTCTCAAAGACTTGCATAATCATGGCTCAATAAATTTGGAACCGGAGATGTCTGCTGGGCTGGAGTTGTGAAATACCCGTGATCCACATCCAGTCAAGCTCTTCTTACAAATAGGAAGCTCGGTGACACATGAGAAGTCGAAGAAAAAGATTAACTGTTTCATTTCGTTATTATTCTCCGAGTCAGCCAGTGGTTTGATGATAAGCGAGATGGGTTTACTTGGTACTATTTGTATGAATGTAGCTGGTTGTTGAATAATTGTGTAAACTGTGGGAGGGGGGAGGAGGAGGAGGAAGGAATGGATCGAGTGTGAGGAAGGAAATGGGGGTCAGGTCAGGAGACAGGAATTCTTGACGCGGCAATAAATAGTTTCTGACTATGACTGTAGTTCTTCTTCTGCAAGTGGTCTCCTCCTCCTCAACTTATTATCGCATGGGCCGAGTGAATTAGTTGACAAGAAGAAGAAGAAGAAGAAGTGCTCAGAATGAAATGATGGCTTTGTAACTTTGGTTATGGAGGCTCAATGGCCGGGCACACAGTCCTTATCAGTGAATTGGAAGGATCCTCTTCTTGCATTAAGAAAGTGGAGAATGAGGATGATGATGTGCGTTGAGTTTAGGAATAGTGTTGGATGCATATTACACTGTTGAATGGAATGGGTGGTTTGGTTATTGGGAGGGTGGCAAGTTTTTCACAGTACTTGTTAGCAGTAGTGCATCAAGGTCTAAAACTAAACCAGCATTATCATAAGGTTGAGCATGAGTCCATTAGTTGGTGGGTTAAGTAACTGAGCATTTGATATTATAAGTATTATTATCAGCCTCTTCTCCGATGATCCCCATGGCATGGCATGATGCTGTATTATTGCATGGCGTTTAAGTCGAGTTAGCAGTGGCAGCAGTGTGCACACACAGTATTAAACTTTGCTCTATCGACACCACCACTGATTCCGTTCCTCGGGCACTCTCCTCTGGTTCAAGTTGAAGTTGTTAGTCAGTTCCCTGCATGGCGACGACCTGGATGGAGGTCCACTCTTCTCCTCACTCAAAAATTAACAATTGTCACAATCTACGCAATTACAAGCATCAAAGTTTTTTCAACTAAAACCTCCGAAGGCTACGACTACTGAAGAGAATAAGGTATCCATAAGTCCAAGTTTGCCATCGTTGCACTTGGGGTTATGCGCTGTTGTTCAATTTCCCTTTAGCTGGTGGTCACTCTACTGCTGTCTGAATTATTGTGCAAGAGTGATTGCTGATGTGGAGAAAGTCTCGAGAGGAAAGTATGGTCGGAATCATCTTTCAATGGAACTAACAATAAGTACATACATATTTTTCGACCAAAGAAAAAATCGTGCAACTCGGACTGGCAGCATTTTTGAGACGGAATTGGAACCACCACCGGGAGAGGCTGGAAACTCTGGAGAAAGCAGATGTGGGAAGTGATGGGTCATCTTACCAGGCAGCATTAGAGTCTATTTAATAATCTAATACTGTCAGGTAAAAGATGGTCTTTCATGAAAAATCAACTGTAATAAAGGAGCAATCAGCACGGACAAAAGTCGAAAGGAGCTGAAGAGAGAGAGAGAAAGCCAAGAATTGCAAATTTCGCAACACGCCCCCGTCCTTCTCTGCAGCCCGACACTTGTGCTCAAAATAACAAGACGTGCTACATGCACACACGACTTTGAGAAAATTAAATCAAATTGATGCTGCACTTTCGTCTCAGAATGAGAAGAGGATTCTACAAGGAATAAAAGGTTCCACACTTTGATTAAAGATTTCTGCAATGGACGTCGGTCTGGACTGCAGTGCTATTCACTTTGAAACATTTATGTGCAACAACTGTTTAATTCCTAAATTAACGCAGCAGCAGCAGGAGGAGCAGGAGTAGTGTAGGTAGAGGAGTTGGAAGGTTGTTGAGTGTATGAAACCGGTATCAAGATTTAATTATCTCATAACAGAAATGTTTGATTTACGGTGCGGTTTCATTCAGGCAGTCCCTTTTTATAAGCAATAATAAGAGTAAGCAAACCATATCAAGCAGGTATCCACCTATTCTACCCAACTGAACTGCCAGGGTAGATATTATGGTATCATTCCAGTCTAGTTACATGCTTCTGGTGCAGAAATCTGTGACGAAAGGAGCTCAACTTTGAATTATTTGCCGGAAACAGGATTGCCGATGAATTCCTGATAGCAATTTCTAGATCTCAATCTCATTCTCTGTGCTTGTAATAATTTATAATACGTTGCTCCTTCATTGTTAATTTCCAATTGTACTTTTCAGCTGAGTGAATAGCAGACGAAACCTACATTACATGCACACATGTACAAACCGAAAAACGGAGTATTTAGTATAGTCGTCTATTATGTATGTATGTGTGTACAGTATGTATATACATATGCACAGTCTACAGTAAGTAATGAGTAGCAATATACATATGTACATATTATGCCTCACCTCGCCATATTGTTGTATGCTTTTCCTGATTTTTCCGTTCGTCAACTAGCTATTCTTTCCCATCTATCTATATCGTGTGGAGTTTGGAGATAGAACAAATATACAACACAACAGCAATTAGAGAGAATTCACTCTTGGAGGAATTCTAGTTATTTTTGGACGCATGATTCCATCCATTGAGAAACTTATACGGGTGTTCGTTTATTTTCGTCGTAGGCTCCGCTGATTTTCAATCTTACTACTATTTGTTGTACTTTCATCTATTCGCGTAGATTTCCCAGCAGTACACAGACTCACACATCACCACAGCGGAGCAAACAAAGTTAAGCCGTATCCGATCCATGTGGTTATATTATATTTTGTGTGATCGGAATCACCAAGAAGCCGAGATAAGGAGAGGCTGAGAAGCAGAGTGAGAGCGACGACCAACTATGCAAGGTATATGTTATTGAAGTAGGCAGAAAATCCGAATTGCCAATTCCTTCGCATCCTCCTCATTTAAGATGAAGAAAGTGTGTGTGTGTATTTGTTTGTAAAATGCAATGTCGCCGAGGCTTGCTGCTTATCTCAAAACGCGGTTGGGATTAACCAGACTGCTGCTGCTGCGGTAAACGACGAAGAATAAGAAAGCTAATAAAATTGTCTCCTGCTACATCCGTGCAGCTTTATGCAAAGCCAAGAAATTCAAAAACGTTTATTGTGGCTTGATTTCAAACAACCAGCCCAAAAAAGAAAGAGTATCATATCTTATCAGGACAATATTTAATCACCAATATAGTTCTATTGACTTGTTATTGGTGATTAGCAATGCAATGGAGATTAAGTATTTTGAAGAGAACCATACAGTCTTTTCTTCTACTTCTTAATAAGATACGATAAACATTCAGAGCTTATGTACTTGTCCCAAGCAGACTGAGGAGCAAATGGGCCAAAGAGATAACGCTCCTCAGTCAGTCAGTTAGCTCAAAAGTCAAATCCATATCGCATGTTTCAATTCATCTCGGCAGCAGCAGCATCAAAAACCTAAACCAACTGTATTCTGTAGTTGCAGAGCGCTTAGAAGCAGCGTAATCTTTGTTCTCTCATGCTTCCAAGATGAGACGACGACGACTCTTTGCCTTTGCAGCAGCGGTGTTGGAGAAGCAATGAGATACTGTAGATACATATGTACATATGATACATGGATGCAGAGAGTGGTGGAGATTTGGTATTATTATATCGAATTGAGTTGACTTCTTGTAGGAGATAAACTGATGACCTGTGATGATGTGATGTTCGAATGGAAGGGGAGGAAACAAACCAACCGTTTCATGAAACTGGGACAGGTTGTGTATGAAATATTATTGGAAGTGGGTGATAAGCATCTCAAATAAATAAATTTTCAATTCAAGACGCACTTCTGACTTTACTGGAGCAATATTGATGAGATCAAGGGGCATCTGAGAGAACGATACATATGTGAAGTAGAATCATCATCATCATCATCCTTATTGCTATGAAATTGAGGTAGTTTGCTCAATTCAATACACAAAGTTCATGTGACGACAAACAACTTATCTACTCCAGTAGCTCAAGAAGCTAACTGTTTTAAGGATTTATTTAAACTGTCATCATATAACTGAATAAACAGCTTTTCCATTTATTCCCACAGTATGTACGTACTTCTTGATTCAGCATAATGGAACAAGAAATTTGTTATTTATTTATTATATTTACTAGCCATTGCTAACACAAGTATGTACAAAATGGTCAATAAATTAATAACCAATCACATTCAAACATTACAAGAGGTTTGTGCATATAGCGCTATATTATTTATTATATTTGGCCTTATCTTCAGCCTCCAACGAAAAATCATCCAGCACAAAGAGAGCGAGGCGAGGCATGGATGAATTTAGGGAGAGGAGGCAAATAGGAAACTTTTGCCGTTGCTGGACCGCTTGTAGTCTTTTCACTGCCTATTTTGTTTAATGCATCATTATCATTCAACACTGATATAGTCTTGCTTGTTGACTTGGCTGGGCAAATTGTAATATTGGAGCTGGTGTTTGTTGATTAGTTCACTGTGCGGCTGGTTATGCAGTGAACTTGAAATACAAGAAGATGTGGCAAGGACCATGGGGTGGATTATTAAGATGATAAGATGTAATAAAATGGTGGAGGACTAGAGAGAGAATGCAACATAGACTAGCCAGGATGTTAGAACGAACGTTAAAAACAGGTGTCCACACCACTATTCCACTTCATAAATTCTTTATTTTTTCTTTCTTTTTGAAAGAAGTTACAAAGAAGTGAGTGAGCAAGCAACGCCAGAGTCGCGATTCCGGTTTGGCTGCATTTTCATTCTGCGACTCTCTTCAAGAGTCCTCCCAGACAAAGATTGTCTTTATGCTTATAAACAGCAGAGCCTTTAATATGCCACAACTAGCGCCTAACAGTGCAGGCAGAATCCTCGTATTTGCTTTTTGGTTTGATTAATCAACTAAACTCTTTCAACGAAAACTTAACTGGGTTCAACCACGTGGGCCACGGACTCCATTCTCATTGTTAGTTCATTTATTTTATTGCATTTGGCATCAAATCTTTCTCTCCGCCTCTCTCTGCATACACATGCATGTCTCCAATGTCCAGTCCAGTTGTCTTCTCACTTTAGCATGAAAACGATGTGGTCTCTGTACACGCAATTTGTCAAACACATATTTTGTCATGTAACCAGGTTGCAAAATATACTTTTTTGCAAGTCAAATGCTTTTTCCAAAATATTTTTTAATGCAGTAAAGCTTAACATAATATACGATAAATAGGTATTCATCTCGTTGAGAATGAAACTAAACACCTTCCAAGTATGTAATTACTTTTATACATAGTCTGGCTGGGATAATTATCATTTGCATTATCAAAAGTGCATGTCGTTAAATATGTAATTCTTGTTACTTGAGTACTCGCCAACGAAAATTCTTCACGCAAGAATCAAAATGGTATTTAACCACGTTTGCGAATGTGTGGAGCCATCATGCTGGAATTATGTGTGTTGGCGACGGATTACTCAAGTGACAACGATGTGTTTAGGTGGTTGCAGTGATACCTAAACGGTTTAGGTACATGTGTGTATAGGACCACTTGCGTTTAGGCTAAACCTTATACACATGTAGACCCATTAGACTATGGAATACATTACAAGTAGTACCTTAAACCAGTTAAACCTCCCCCTACTTATTATTATCTGTATAATTGCAAATAGGTCTGCATTGAAAATTTCAAGTTTGAAATATTACATATGTAGAGAAATATTATGTGGAGAAAACCTATGACCAATGGATCATATTTTAATTATGACTATGAGAGATGACGATGGGTTATTAATTACATAACGGCGATATGATATGACCCCGCCAACATTAATACTTTTTCTTGGGTATCGAAGTTTCTTGAATTGCAATGTGTATCAATCAATCGTATTTTAAATGCAGAGAGAGAGTGAGAGAGAGAGAAGTTGATGAAAATTTGTAGTGAATTATTGTACATGCATATTTAGTTTGCCTTTGGTTGGTATAGTGAGTTGGGATTGAAGGCATCCTTGACCGTTGCCTGTTGCGATAAGATAAGCTTCTGTTCGCCAGATATAGGATGTCATCATTTATCCCCTTCTGCATCTGGCAGTCTAGATTTGGTTTCATTGCCAGTACAGCAGCCACGCAACGAGCGAAAGAGAGAACAAGAGTTGTCACACATTATTATATGCAAAACGTTGCTAGTTGTATCCTAATAATAATTTAATCATGAACTCCTCTCCTCCGCCTGTTGGGATATTATTATTACCAAATAACAATTGACAAACATGAGGCTAATGCTATTTATCATATTTTTATTATCTCCAGCTATGAGTGAGATTAGGAACGGATTGAATGTCAGTAAATGCATATATGTACACAATATTCCTCCTCCTCATATTTTCACAACCCGTCCAATGCATCACCCCAACATTGCATATATTATGGATGTGTCGCATTATCGCATATTATTCCATGTGTCTGTTGAGTATTGCTCATTTTAACTGGAGAAGTAGTCTCATTTGGTTTGGATGAGAGCGTCGTCGTCGAGTGGAGCAACTTACTTATTTGCCTCTTCATCATCATTAACTTCAACTAACTTTATTATAAGCAGACGCACTTTAACCCAAAAACAAAGTCAACATTTAGTTTATTACATGGAAAAATCAATATAATGGGAGCAACGAATGAAGTGCATGTTACAGAATGGCCATAAATACATACATATATGTGGCATAATTGAAATGGTAATGAAATTGTACTCCTAGTTTTATAAGCTTCAAATAAATATTTACGCTTAATTTAATGTCATCCATTGCGGAACTGTAAAATCAATTCTCAATTGGTTTAAATTTTCAATTTTTCTTTATCCCGACACATTAGTCAAGTACTGCATATTTAGCACACAATTTGATTACTCAATTGGTCCGTGTATGATAAAATCAATGGAGATTTTCATGACGTCTTCACATCCAGCGTAAATCTTATTATTATGACGGTTACGTCGTAAGGCGTTTTTTTTAGAATGGCGGATGGCGTTGACGTGGCGACAAATTAAGATGTTGTAGCAATGTTAATACACAATTAATTCCCTAGGAAATTGTCTAAAAGTCAAGCAGGTGATGCCAGCGAGCTACATACTTAATAGTAAGCTTGATGTAAAATGAAACTTACGACTGCTAAGTTTCGGGTTTTTCACGACAAACGACAAAGAGGTCGTGGAAACCCCCAATATTTTAACCAAGTCAGGATACAAATTTTCTCTAGGGTTATTAAAAATAAGCTTATTTCTACCACTCCACTGAAACATGAAGCTTGATTATTGTGTCTACTCTGATAAGTGTAGTGTCGCCTCACATTTATATGACACGCTACACACAAATACATACGACGTAAGTCTACACCATGCTGATCATTAGCAAAATGCTAATGTAGTCTAATCTTGAGCATTATTGTTTAAATGAATTAAAACATCTATTTACTATTCTACTATTCTACTACGCTAGAGCATTTTAATTTTATGCCAAATTCTTTGTAATTCAATGCGTATGCTGTGTGCTTATTCATGAATTGGAATTCTTTTTATCGTCCATGTCCATAAAATAATATATTAAAATGAATGTTTTGTCTCTGTGAATACAAACAATAAAACCACAGTGCTCTACCATTATTATTACATGCCGGTGACATTCCACAGCCTCCATGGCGTTAAAACAGAATTCGCAGTACTTTACAGCTCTGCTGACGACTTGCATCCCAAGGTTTTCGGAATGAATGAACTGGTTAACAATTCTGCATGGTTTGCGCTACTCATCACTTTATCAATCTCTATGAAATGAGGTAACCTCATTGAGGTTATTATGTCTCATGTGTATTGCAGACATTATTATGCATATAGGAATAGTCTACATATTGCACGCATTATTACAATTAGCAGAATAGTGAAATAAAATCCTTACACAAATGTTTTTTCGTGGGTAATAATGGTCGAAAATACTAATAGCTTTTAGATTTTTGGTTTAATTTCTTGCTCGTGTATGCACATAACACAACACATAATTTATTGCAACCCGAATAATACAATCATAACCTAATTAAGTAACATTACTCAAATTATTGTACATGACTTACATGATTTCATACATTTAAATATTTGTCATATGTCATCATTCTCATATCATGATAAGGAAGAAAGTGCAAGAGAAAGCATGGCGTGGTGAGCCGGGAGAAAGTCGTGGTGAGCTAGTTGGAGTGCCACTGGTGCACATTTCGGTAGGCTTCCAATCAAAAACTCCTCTTCAATGGCAGCAGAGGGAGCTGGTCGAATTCGCGAAAGTTTATTTCTTTTCTATACCTTTTCTATGCGTGTGCAAATTAGGCAAGTGTTCATTCACACAACTTGGGTCCACCGAAACTTGCTTTCTGACTTCATCCATCCACCAAGTTGTATATCGCAATTGATCAAATTCGCTAAGGTTAGAGGGGTGCTCCCTCTAATTCTGGCCAGAACTTTGTTTGAATACAAAGTAACAGCAAAAATTTGAAAACTCTACAAAGTTTATTTTTCGAACATATTGTGAAATACTCCATATGATAAAGTTAACGGGATTGGTGAGAGTTGTTTTGCTTGGATGTTAGTGGGACATAGTGGTTTGCCCTTGGAATCACTTTCAGTGGGCTGTGCTCGTGTATATGTATTTTGTTGTAATTCTTGTTCTCCCTTAAAAACAGTTCATCCAACCACCGATTAATTATTATTGTTCTCTCGGTCATCCAGGTTTTTGCCCGGCTCTCCTCTCCTTTGTTTACACACTACACCTCGCCCGTTCGTTAACACCTTATCCACGCTGACCTTATCTGATCCAATCATTACCCTTCCTCTCGTCACAGCCTGAAAATGTTTGCCCCACTTTTGTAAAAAAACCGTCGTTAAGGACTATTATGGATTTGTCTTCCTTTGGATTACCTCCAACCCCCCTTTAGATCCTTCTTTTTTCCTTGCAACTCGTTCTTCCGTCAATCAATCGTGTGAAACAAAGTCAATCTATATAACCCTGTTGTACAAGTAAAACTGAAAGCTACAACTAAAATTGTG